TAGTACTTCCCATAAGCTCATAAACAAAGGCACCACGAGCAGTCATCATTACCACCAATGAATTGACTCCATACATTTGGAGAAGGCAGATGCAAAACTTCTGAGTGTATGTGAGCCCAAGCTGTGTACTGATGAACTCATTGTGAGTAAATGCTGAGTAGCAACACAGTGTACCCACTGTGGCAAATATCTCTCTTGAAGAAGAAAGCAATCATGCTAATCCAGATTTAAAATACCCATATGGGTGCCTCATAACCACCTGGAAACTCCAGCTCCAGAGATTTGGCACCCAATTCTGGTCCCACAGGTACGTGCACGCACATGGCATGTATATACACACATGCACATACACACATGCATGTACATGAGTGCTATAACAGTGTATCTTGCTCATAACATCTTGTGTTTACCAAGGAACCAGACTAAGTCCAATTGAGAACAAAGTCTAGACAAAATCTGTTCCTACTGTGTGCTGCCCTGGAGCTGCCCCAACAAACACAGTTAGCTTGGCTCTGTAGCTTTGACTCTGCAGAGTCAATACATAGTATCATTCAGTCTAAGAAGAGTCTGAGGCTGGGGGCTGATGGCTGAAACACAGGCTTAAATCTAAAACATCAAGTTCTTTATACAGGCATTATAAGTAAGCAGCACTGTAAACCTCAGTTTCCAAAGAAACAGTGATCAGCTGGATATGACTCAGTGTGCTATATGACTGTCTCTCAGTCACTTCCTTTCCTACGGGTCTAATCATTTTTTCCTTTCTTCTTCATCTTTATCTCTTTTTCCTGCGCTGGGAATTTAATTCAGCATTCTGTCACTGAACTATGTCTCCAACACTCTTTTAACTTCTATGCCAAAACAGCCCAGGTTGACTTTGAACACAATATATATATTCCATGATCCTTGAACTTGAGGTCCTTCTGTCTTAGCTTCCTAAGTTGCTGACATGACAGTCTTCAGCCACTAGGCCTAGATTGATCATTTCTTTCTTTACTTCTTACTCTAGAGAGTCCTGACTAATACACTCTGTCTCTCCAGCACCGGGATTTGGGGTGAGCACTGAGACTCATGGTTCTTTATGTGGGTACTGGGGAGTCTGAACTCAATTCCTCATGTTTTTGTGACAGGCATTGGACCAACTGAGCCATCTCCTCTGCCCTAGTTCCTGCTCCATAGCTTCGACATCCCTTTAATCCCACAGTTGTGTGTGGGGTTGGGGTAATGTCCAGACTATTACCTGGTGTCATGGCTATTCTTGGTTTTCAACTTGACTACATCTCACATAATGGATATTTTTTCTTAATTGCATCATTCAAAGTCTGAAGACCCACTTTGAATCCAGATCTTTAAGGTGGGAAGACACACCTTCAATTCAGATCCTTTGAGGTGGGAAGATCTGCCTTTAATCTGAACCACATCTTTCTGCTGGCAGCCTGTATAAAGGATGTGGGAAGACCCAAGCCACTGTGGGCAACGCCATTCCCTGGGCTGAGGTCCTGGAAAAGGCAAGCTGAGTGCTAAGCATCCATGCATTCACTTCTCTCTGCTTTTTGATGGTGGGTGTGACAGAGGCTTCAGGTTCCTGCCTTGGCTTCCCATGATGACAGACTATATGACCCAGGATGGTGAGCTAAAAGTAAACCCTTTCCTCCCTTACACTGATTTTTGCCAGGGTGTCTTTTCACAGCAACAGAAGTGAGACTATGACAACTACACTGGAATTCACGTGGATGTGATGGAGACCCACAGGTGGCTGTTATGGGGAAGGAAAGCATAGGCCCAGGGAAGTACCCCAAAGGGAAGCAACCACAGCCTGTGCTCTCTATCTCCACTGGCCATTTTACTGCATTTCTGAGAGTCAGCTTCTACGGGGGGAAGCCACATTAAAGTAGCAGGTGATTCCTGAACGGAAAACTACAAATTGCCATGAATCTGCCAGCCAAAGAAAATTGAGGAAGTGAGGGAGAAATGTCAGATCAAAAGAAAGTTAAGCCGAGTGCCCTCTGGTCCTTGCCCTGCGCTTAAGGTGAGTGGGGGCCCTGCTCTGGACCCCAACTCCCTATATCCCCCTGCTTCCCTCTCCCTGGGTGTTTTCTGCACCTAAAGAGGACCTGCTCTGCCCGGAAGGATCACCCTGAGTTTGACCATACCTCAGTCTTCAGTGCCTTCCGGTCCTTGCCCAGTGCCTAAGGTGAGTGGGCACCCTGCTCTGAGCCTCAACTCCCTACATCCCCCTGCTTCTGTCTCCCTGGGCATTTTCTGCACCTAGAGAGGATCTGCCCCTTCCGGAAGGATCACCTGAATCTGGCCACACCTCAGTCTTCAGTGCCCTCCATTCTCTGTCCTGTGCTTGAGCCCCTGCCCTGGGCTTCAGTCTTCAGTCCCCTCTGGTCTCCCCCCTATGCTTGAGAGTGTCCCAGATCCAGGTGCACCCATTGGAGTATTGGACCTGCTTGAACGCACTGGAAGAGATCCTTAGACCCAAACCCACCAGGAGAGGAAGAGACCCCAGGAGCTCCCACTGAAAGAAGAGATGGGAAGAAGGCAATATAAAAACATAGCCAACAACAGAGGAACCAGTATGACACCACCAGAGTCTAGAAACTCTACACCAGCAAGCCCTGAAAATATCAGTACAGATGAAACAGAAAATAATGACCTTCAAAACAACCTCCTGAAAGTGATAGAGGCCCTCAAAGAGGATATGAAGAAATCCCTTAAATAAATGGAAGAGAACACAAACCAAAAAATGCATGAAATCAACAAATCTCTGAAAGAAAGCAAGGAAAGCCAAGAAAAAAACAATCAAACAGATGAAGGAAACAATTCAACAGTTCAAGACCTGAAAACTGAAATGGAGACAATAAGAAAAACACAAACTGAGGTAATGCTGGAAACTGAAAGACTGAATAAACAATCAGGAACTACAAATGCAAGCATAACTAACAGAATACAAGAGATAGAAGACAAAATCTCGTGCACTGAAGATAAACTAGAGGAAATAGATTCATCGACAAAAGAAAGTCTTAAATCCAACAAATCCTTAACACAAAATACTCACGAAACATGGGACACTGTGAAAAGACCAAATCTAAGAATAATAGGTATAGAAGAAGGCAAAGAAGCCCAGCTCAATGGTGCAGAAAACATATTCAACAAAGTCATAGAAGAAAACCTTCCCAATCTCAAGAAGGCGATGCCTATGAAACTACAAGAAGCTTACTGAACACCAAATAGGCTGGCCACCCAAAAATATGAAAAAAAAGAAAGTTAAGCCACCACAAGGACTACCAGTCCTCTGCATTCAGAGTCCAAATCCATGAACTTAACCAGCCACAGGTTAGACATAGTCACAGGACAATATCTGTACAAAGCACACAGATTTCTTCTTACCAAACATGACAGTCCAGCAACCGTTGATAGCACACAAACATTGTCTCATGTAGAATGTTTGAAATGTAGAAGTGGTCACAAACCTGAAGGGGTGTGTGTGTAAATTATATATGCAAGTCCTCTTGGAATCTCATCCATCTCCTCAGAGGCACTGTAACCCCACCCCTAAATGTAATATTGTCAAATGGGGTAGAAAATCACCATCAACCAACCCTGAAATAGCATTCATGTACATGTTTACAGAGCACTTTATTATGATGTCTGACAATTCACCCTCGAGTTGTATCTCACAACCCACCAAGACCCACAGTGAAAGCCCAAGACATATTAGATGTGTTTCTTAAAACAGGACGCCTGCCCAGTGCTGTGATTTGATACCATGATTGCTTCTTTGAACTGGGAAGATGACTTCCCTCAGGGGATCATTATTTTCCATCTAGGAAGTGGTAGTTTCCTGTCTGCTGGAGCTGCAGAGGAATCTATAAATGCCAGAGACCAAGTAGGATATCCCTGTACTCCCATTTTCTTCCTAGAAATATCTAAACAGCAAAGCAAGGATGCTGCATCGCCTGCTGTAATTGTACACAACCATCAAGAAATGAGCAGACTCTAAAGATTTCAACACCAAAAGAATCTGAAAAACAGTATTTGTGTTTTTCCCTCCTTCATAAAAAAATAATTCTAAACATAAAGTTCCTTCCTTTGACCTGTGCCATTTCATGCTTTCTTTTCATTTTGGAGCGGATTTTTACCAAGCTCAGCACATCTACTCTGAGGTCTGAGTCGCACACTGTTCCATGACTCACCCCTCCTAGAAAGCTGTTAGTGGGAAGCAATTACCCCAAATGGACCTGGGTACCTGGGAGAGCTCTGGGGCTCATTTGCTGCCAGTATTTTAGAAGCAAGATCAATGCAACTCCGACTCTCCCGAAGCCAGCATCTCTACCCAGTTTCTTAACTGATGTCTTCATGGCCTGATAAAAGATCAGATGTAGTATGAGGCATTGCCAAGGCGTTACCAGGGGATGGTCCTCATTCATCCTGAAGGAAATGGGGCAGTTTCAAGATTTTCATGGCCCTTAGACAACTAATAGCTCACTTGGAAGAGTTGTAGACTAAGGAAATGATCCCCACCAACACAGACCAGCACATCTCTCAAGCCCTAAAAGATTTTAAGGTTTGGAATTCTGTTTTGTTTTTTATATAAAGGTTTAGGAGCTGGAGAGATGGCCCAGCAGTTAAGAGGACTTTCAGCCCTTGCTGAGGACATGGGTTCAGTTCCCAGCATCTACTTTGGGTGGCTCACAGCTGCCTGTAATGCCAGCTTCAGGGAATCTGACACCCCCATCTGGCCTCCACAGGTACTAAACTCATGTGCACAACCCCCCCCCCCACACACGTATACTTTTAAAAATAAAATATTTTTAAAGTAAAGGCTTTCTATAAGTCCTACAGAACATTTTCTTTTCTTGTCCATGTAGTACTAACTCAAGACTGTTAAACTCTCTGACAGAAAAGAAAAATAAAACACATTTACAAATATAACCCATGGCATGAGTGCTAAGACTCAATAGAGAACACACAACCAAAATAATACAACAATTGAAGAATGTTCATATGTTTATTTCCATGTTAAAAATGATGAGTTACCCTGTGGTTAGAATATACCTTTATGCTGAAAAAAATGAAGTCACTTTATTTCTGAAATATTTCCAGTGTGGGGGAAAAAAAAAGGAAAAATATTCAGAAAGTACTGAAGAGTAAGATCAAAATGTCCTGGAAGATTCCATCAACAATCCCAGCATGAGCCACAACATCCTTTCCAGGTCAGAATTCCTAACTGGGTGTATTTTTCAACGTCAGGCCCCAATGCTTTCCCATCATCCATTTAAATATTATTGAGCTGGATGTCTATACACTTAAGAGCTACAGTTTCACATGCTTTTATTTTTTTAATGTATTTATTCCAATACACCATTCACAGTTTCGTTATATTGCCTATATTACATACAAAAATATCTGCTGCCTGTATTTCAGCAAAGCTTTGTCCCACCATCCACCCTCTACATGACAGATGAGATGCATTACATTATACAAATATGGTTTTGATGGAAGAGAAAGGTGCAATCCATAAACCATCTCTGGTGTCATTTACAGAGACCTTTCTGGATGACCAGAGTAGAAAACCCAATAGGATTCAGAAATACTACCTGTGGTCACTTTTGGGGATCAGGGGACTACTCACTGATGGACACAGCTTCGCTATGGTCTCAACCCTTTCTTTTTAACTCTCCCTCCCCCCCTCTGTGTGTGTGTATGTCTGTGTCTGTGTGCACCAAAGCATGTATATAAGACAGAAGTCAACCTCAGATGACATTTCTCAGGCACCATCCACCTTTGTATTGAGACAGGGTCTCTGACTGGGATCTGGAACTTGCCTATTAGGCAAGGCTGGCTGGAAAGGAAGCCTCAGGTGCCTGTCTGTCCCCACCTCCCCCATGCTGGGATTATAAGCATACACTACCATACCTGGATTATTATGTGGGTGCTGGGTGTTGAATTCCAGCCCTCTGGCTTATGCAGAAAACTTTACCCTTTACCAACTGAGCTCCCCGCCCCCTCTCTCTCTCGATCAGAAGACCAAAGGTGACTTCCTAAACCTTAAATGAGTTACAAATTACTTTCATCCATAGGTGTGGCCAAGGGGTAAAATAAAATCAATACATGTCTTGGCTGCATTCATGTCTATAAATAGAAACTTTCTACCCAGACAGCTAAGAATTGTCATAGTTTGGGTATGTATAGCCAGTATAGCAGACAGTTTTCTAACATTAGTTAGATGTTGCTCTTCTGGCCATGGCTCCCACTGTATTTATGAATCTCTCAAATATAGCATACCTACCATTCAGCTCCAGTTCTTATGCCTTGACCCCAACAGTATTACATGCAAATCCTGATGATAGGGACAACATTGTCTTTGAATGTCCTGGGTCACACTACCTTGGTCAGTCTACTGTTTCAACCTCCCTATGAGTGCCCAAAGAACCTATAGCCTGCCGCTGTCTCCTGACTCCCCCAGGATGAATCTGAGCATAAGCATCATTCTTGTGGCAGAGCAAGGGACTTGATGTATGTCTGGCTCAGGTTAACTAGTCATAAATATATATGAAATATATCAAGAGTAATAATTTGGCTATCTCTGCATGGAAACTTTAGTCCAGGCCAATACACAGCCCTGGGAAATTGGATTTTAAGGCTTGAGGTTTGTGCCATCTCCCCTATTCTAGTTCATGTGGGTTAGAGGCTAGCACAAACATCATAGCTGACTTGACGGAAAATCAGGTGAGACAGTCACAGTTTACGATCTGCAGGAGCTACTTCGAGCAGAGGATGCTTCTGTGACACTGTGATACTGAGTCCTGTCCAAGACGAATCTGAGAATGACTCTCTTGATTCCCACCAAAGGCCTGAGTGTGTGACTCCTTGGCATTCACACAGAGAGATGTGGATGCGTGTGCATATGCTGTGTCTGTACGTATAGAACTGTGTGTCACATCTTAAAAGGGTCATTTCCCCCTCAGAATCTGCCATTGGCTTTGATTTGAACTGATGTTAGCCTAACACAAAGACACGGAGAAATGTGCACTGAGGCCAACTCAGAGTGTGTCTGAGAGGCCCACGGAGGCATCTTCAGCATGATGGTCAGCATCTCCCTTCCTGCTTCAAGTATGTCAACCACAGAAAATCCTTACTTGTGCTGTCCCTGGTAATTTCCTGCTAAGCTCTAGGCAAGCCCAAGGCCCCATCTGACCAATAGGAGGCAGCCTGGTTTGTGGGTCCTTGCTTGCAGCCAGTTGTCTCATTGTCGGTTCCCATTATTTCTGTGATGGGAGATAGGATTTTAAATGGCTCATAAAAGGAGCCAAGCTTATCTGGAGTCCTGCTACCCTGCACAGGTGGTTTGGGGCTACCTGCCCCCACTCCAATCTTTCCAGAAGCATTTGGCTAACTAGAGGGCTCTTAGCAGCAGCAGATGTCAGCCAAGCTCATGCAATACCTTCATCTCCAGGCTTCATTCTCCAGTTAAAGGTTTTGGGGACCCCAGCAGTTTCAGCTCTTAGGAGCCATTCTAAACACAGAAGCAAGTCAAGATAGTTCTAGAGTTGAAGCACATGGCCTGTATGTCCAACCCTCTTTGTAAACACACTGCAGTGCTGGGGGTGTCATAAGCAGGGAGAATGTCTTTGCTGTCCTGTCATGGCTATAGGAGGGTTGGCTGCCATGTTTCCAGCCTGGACATATACAAAATGAGAGCAGAGGGATGAGAACGCATCTCCTCTGAGAGGCTCAGAGAGCAGCCCTTTGACATCAGTGACCTCCTGCATGTGCTTCCTGCTTAGGGCCTTTGAAAATCCCTTTTTTTTGAAGGTTGACAATGACTCGGTTAGTTCACAATGAGGCATACTAGCCAAGTGTCTGGTTTTCTAGTTATAACATGATGATAAACAAAAACGTCACATTTTGTCAAGCCAAAATCCGTGTCTTTCTTGAGACTATTCATGATGCTTGTAAATAGCACTTCTATTGAAAATTATGCAAAAATCTTTTTTCTCTTGAAACTTTGATTTAATACCACAGTTTGTTTGTACAGCTGATTTGGGGCTCTGGAAAATTGATTTATTTATAGTTACAGGTTTGGAAAAATAATCATTGCTTTCTTCACCAAAAGATGCCTGAGAGGTTTCTTCTCTGTCAAAGTGACAATTGAGGGTGTCTTTTATTTTTCAGTCATTGTATGGATGACTTCTATATATTGCTAACTTGAAACATTGGTTTTTTTAATATGAAAAGTGGAGAGTTGAATATGAAGTTGTTTCTTCATTTCTTTGCCATATAGATCAATCCTGCTTTTTGAAAGATTTTTTTCTAGTTAATGTGTATGTGTGTATGTGTATGTGCACATGAGTGCAGTACCCACAGTGACCAAAAGAAGGCATCAGAGCCCATGAAGCTGGAGTTACAGAAGGTTGTGAGCCACCATGTGGACGCTCTGATCTGAACTCCAGGTCCTGTACAAGAGCAGCAAGTATTCCTAACCACCAAGCCATCTCTCCAGCCTTTCAATCCTGTTTCTTATTTTAGTTTGAATGATACACTGTGTTGGGCACAAAGGGTTTGTTTCCATGCTGTGAAGTTGGAGTCTCTACCCTCAGAACTGTACCCTCAGGAGATCCACAGATAGCTAACAAGCAGACAATGAAAACAGATGTTTGTGACACAACTTTTCTCAAAATGTGTTAAACTTCACGTGGAAAATGATTTTTAAAAGAAAAGGGGAAAGAAAAAAAGCTCTCTCTTCTGGGTCTCCAGTAACACCTCTGTCACTGAGATAGATAAGAAAGTCCAGCGTCAAGAAGAAGGAGACAAATCATGAGAATGTGTTGCTCAAACACTGTCCCCAGCAACTAAGTTTTTTTTTAAAAAAAAAATGACATCCTGTGTAGAGACCTAGAACTGGCAGACATGATGAGCCCCATTGAATAAAACTCATAGGAACATCAAACATAATTCTTCTTTGTGAGTTTCTTAAACAACCCCTCCCCCTCAAAAAATGCAAGGTCAAAAGAACAGATTCGAGTCCAAATGTATATAAAAATAATGAGCCTCACTCCCACAACTAAGAAGGCTACATTCAGTCATCTTCCTCCACGGAGATCCAAACTCAGGCCACGCGCGATGAGTGTCCACTGTGCTTTAAAAGGGCTAGGAATAGAAAAAAACCACCATCCATCCGGAAGGTACCTTATTACACACGGCCATTGGTCGTGAGGTGACCAACAGTGTCTATGTGGTCACGTCTACTGCCGGCTGCCGGCCTCTGAATTCAGTCTCCCATCCCTGGGAGCCACTGTGTTAGAGATATCACCCACCTCTCTAGACTGCTGGTACCCACTCAGAGAGGGATCCCTCCAGACCCCCCCGACCCTGACACTTTGTTGAGTCACCCCCTATTGCTGATCAGACCCACTGCTCCACCGTTCAGAAAACAGAAGGCATAAAGGTGAATACGAACTTAAGAAAGGACTTCACATCTGGTCCTGCAGTCTCTCCATATAGTCTCTGAAGTCCTGCGAGTCCCCCAGCCCCATGTCCTGGCAGACCCACTTGATGCTGTCATCACTGTCAAACAGGATGGAGTTGGTGTACGGGCCCCCATCCTCAGGGAGGATGGTGGTGTAGGACGTAAACTTGACTCTCTTCCTCTTGGGGCCAGAGGAGCCCATGGGTTCATTTTTCAGCTCTTTCTCATACACATAGTCAGGAGGCCTGAGCAGCTGACTATGGAAAGTCTTCTGGGAGCTGCCATTCAGCAGGAAGTTCCTCTCCTCGAACTGCAGGCCCCTGTCGATCATGCTTGTGCACTCCTCCGAGGGGGAGAGTGATGTCCACGGGGTTCTCCAGAAGTTCTACCTCATTCCCAAGCCAGACCCAGTCGTGGGAATGGGGGATGTTGCCCTGCTCACTCACAGCAAACCTTTTGTGTCTATACTTCCAAGCAAATGCCACGCAGTTGATCAGGAAGACCAAGATGGCCAGACAGAAGACACAGAGCAGGGCATACATGCCAATCTCCAGATCTGTTAACCCCCTGGAGGTCATCGTGAGGTCACCGGGGTTATTGGATTCCGGCAACTTCCCTTGAGTGGGGAAGCTTGTGAAGGCATCTGCCCCGCCTTTGAGCAGCTTCCCTCCCATGGGAGACTGTGGGGTTGTGCTTTTGTTGGTCCTGTCCTCGTGGCCAACCGGTGCGCCATGTTGGAACCACTCCTGGGCCGCCCGCTCCTGGCTTCCCTCACGCTCTATGGAATTGCTGAGGTGGCCTCTGTATTCCCGGTTCAAGCCCTCGATGTCATTGCTGCCTCCTTGCTGCTCATGCATCCCAGGTTCAAACCTGACCTTGACATTTCCTTTACCCACAGCAAGAGTACTCTTCCTCTTGCTCTTCTGACAAGATTCGCTGATGGACATTTCTAGCTTGATCAGGGGCCCCTGTCCTTCGCCCTCCGCAACTACGATTGGCCATCTGGTCTGAAGGTTTGGCTGGACGGATACCACCATTTCATCCAAGGAGGAAACGGTCACTGAGAAATCCTTGGGATCATAAATGTCTAAAGGTGTTACTGAGCCATCACTGAACAAAATCCAGGAACTGACTATGGCTTCCTAAGAAAAACGAAACCAGAGTAACAGTATTATGACTGGATTCCTTCAAACTTACAAACAGGATTTCCTTTGGACATTATTGGCATCTGCAGATAGAGGTGAATTTCTGATTGTGATGGTCTTAGCTCTTGCTATGCCTTGACCTTGTGTCATTAACATGCTATAGCCCCACTGGCATGAGGTGCCAGGAATGCACTTCGATGAGTGCATGAGAGTGTAAATGAATTTATTGCATGCCTTTCCATGGAGTGTGACTTTGACCTTTGTGGAGACACTCAGAAAGATCAGGTGATTTATCTGAATCAATTAGATGCAACTAATCAGGTTACCATTCAAGATGACATTATTTTGAACAACCTTTATCAGGAAGCCAGTGCTGGGCCAGCAAAGCCACTCTCGGAGGAAGTCCTTGGTAAATGAGATGGTGTGAGGCTGGCTTGCTTGAATGGCACCATGACCCTCTCTCTTTTAAAAATGTTTTTGTGCCTGTTTAGAGACACAGGGAAGCTTTAGCACTGGCAACACCTGCCATCAGTAAGACAATCTGGTACCAATTAGCTGTTCTTGTACAAGTAGCCGAAATGGAGTCTCCAAGCCTCAAAAAAATCACCTTCTCTCTGTTTGGCAGGAGTGACAACAGGGGATCCCTTGCATGGTTTAGTCGCAGCAATCCATGCCTAGCACAGATCAGCCAATAGGGAAGCAAAGGACACAGGAAGATGTCAATAAGCCCTGAGTGCTAGCCTCAGAGACAGGGAGACACTGGGTAAGAAGGAAGGATATTCAAGAGCTGTCAGGTCTGGCTGTGACACCCTCCTAGCCCCCTATGCAAGGAGTCATAACCGAGGGTAGAGCTAACTTTATGCCCAGAACATGGGCCCCTGGGAATCTCACCTGCTGCGGGGCTTGGAGAACATCCTGAGCCGCCACTGTAGAGATGATGGCCCTCTTGTCTGCCTTGTGAGGCTGAAGGGAAAGGGACAGGCCAGCCACCAGTTGCACGCCCAGCTCTGTGATGGTGACACGGTCATCCAGGACAATAACTGTCTTCTCAGCCAGGATTGAATCAGAGAGAGGCGAGAGGACCTGAGAGAGCAAGGTAGAAAGCTTGTGACTTTGTCCCACAGGAACACCTTTGACTCCCAGGCAGATAGGGTCATTGGTGACCCGTCTAGTGTCCTGGTAAAGGAACACAGTGGCAGGGTTTTAAGTGGGTCTGGGGTTGTTCAATAGCACAGACTGAAGACAGTTGAATAAAGATCACTTTGGTGCATGTCTTTTGATTCCTATATGACAAAGACTAGCACATATCTATACTCAAAGAAAGAAGAGGGGTCAGGTTAGGACTCCTCACTGAATGTTTCTGCCTTGGTGATAGGTATGGAAGAGGTGAGACTTTTTCAACAGCTGGTCAGCAGTTTCTGAGCATGCTGGGTTGGAGGCACAGTCTCCAAGAGAGCGGCCCTCAACCTGGCTCTCTGTGCACAATCCTTCTAGTGGGCAGGTGTTTACCACTGAGCACCAATGATCACCACAGGCCATTTGGGTCATCGCTGGATAAACCAGTTTGCGTGGCATTTCCTAAGCTGCTATTCCTCCTAATACACCTTTTGGTGTACATCTAGGCATGAGGGCTAAATCCCAGAGATAACACATGGTAAGTGGGATGATTTCTAGAATATTCCCCCAAAGACTTCCTCCCTTCACTCATCCACTCACTTGTGGGAAAAAAAATGAAAACCCATTCCCTGACTCTTCAGTGTCACACGATACAGACATCTGAAAGCCAAATGGGGCTGAATCGCACAGGGTACCCAGTGTAGTGACCAGAGCTCTTTGGGTTGGGTGGGGGAGATGATGTTCCCAGCCAATGACACAAGGAAGTAGGTGACACTCAGAGAGTCTCTACTGGCAAGGGAGGAACTCCATAAGAAGAAATGCACAGGGCTCCTGGCTGACAACATCTGGGAAACAGGGGCCTCAGCCCTAGAAGCAGAAAGTTAAGCTCTCTCAAGACAGTGAGAGAGATCTGGAGTAAGTTATCCCCCAAAATCCCTGGTCACAGACACAGAAACACTGACTCCCACCTCAGGCTGCCATGCAGAGCCCAGTCAAAGCCACCTAGTGTTCCAGCCTATAGAGTCACCACTGAGGAAATGAGTGCCATGTAAGGTTTAAATCTGTGGTATCTGTGTAAGATGCAAACACGTGGTGTCTTGTGAGGTGGAAACTAGGAGACTAATGCATAATATAACCCACTTTGTCCAACTGTACCAAAAATTAACCTTGGAAGCACCTAAAACATGGTTTAGCTATGATCAATAATATTTTAGATCAATATAAAATGTCTGCATAACATTATTTGTAATAGCCAGAACCTGGAAGCAACCTAGATGTCTCTCAACTGAAGAGTGGATAGAGAAAATGTGGTACATTTACACAATGGAGTACTATTCAGTGGGGAATAAAACAATGGAATCTTGAAATCTGCAGACAAATGGATGGCGGCACTAGAAGAAACCATACTGAGTGAGGTAACCCAGTCACAAAAAGAGAAACATGGTATGTACTCTCTCATATATGGATTTTAGACATGGATCAGGAGAGTGCCAGCCTACAATCTCACTGCCAGAGAGTCTGGGAAACAGAACCTTCATCCAGCGATTGATGGAAGCAGAGGCAGACACCCACAGCTAAACACTGAACTGAACTCCTGGAATCCAGTGATAGAGAGGGAGGACTGATGAGCAAAGGGGTCAAGACTGGGATGGTTTAACTCACAGAAACAGCTGGCCTGAACAAGGGGAGCTCTTGGACCCTAGACTGATGGCTGGGTGGACAGCATGGAACTGATCCAGACCCCCTGAATGTGGTGTCAGTGAGGGGGCCTAGGCAATCTATGGGGCTTTGGGTAGTAGATCAGTATTTATCCCTGGCATACAAATGAAATTTGGGTTCCCATCCCACATCCAGGGATGCTCTCTCAGCATGGACTCAGCCTAGGCCCTGCCCTGAATGAAATGAGAGACTCTGGAGATCCCCCATGGAGGGCCTCACCTTCCCTGGGAAGCAGAGTGGGGACTAGGTGGAGGGCTGGAGGACCTGGTGTGGGGGCGGGGGAGGAGGGAAGGGAGAGGGAACTGGGATTGACATGTGAAGCAAGCTTGTTTCTAATTTAAAAAAAAACAAAGAAAAACCCTCTGGTTCAAGAAAAAAATCTGCATAATAATCTGACCAAACTTGGCAATAAAATGGTTTTTTGTTATGATGTAACTGACTATTCAACTATGGTTCTTCTTTATCTCTTACGAATATTGTACTTTTAAATTTCATTTTGTCTACTATTCTGGGTTTAACATAGACAATGGTTAAACTGTAAAGCTGAGGGTGGGTTTAGCTTTTAGGATGTTCACTAATCTACTCGGCTATGCAAAAAAGTAAAGCACTATAGCCAGCAAGATGGCATAGTGGGTAAAGGCACTTGCTGTGCAAACCTGGTGACCTGAGTTCAATTCCCAGAACCCACATAAAGGTGGAACAGAAGAATCAATTCCACAAAAGGTGTTCTCTGACAAGCAAATACCCACACTCTGTGGTACACACCCCCATGTATACACAATCACAATATGAATAAATAAAAGTATTTTTTTAATCTAAAAGCTCCACTGTGATTCCCATCCCAGCGGGAACCAACCCAGACAGAGATTGCCAGTATCCTAGTCCCTTTCTCCACCTACGGGACTAGGTAAGTCTGGGCCTGTTTCTGGGCCACCTTCCTGTGCCCTGTGCAAAACCACATGAGGTGTGGGGAGCCAACCCACCCAGAGACTGCCAAGGCAAGAGGAGAGCCACCGGAGTATTGGACCTGCTTGAACCCACCGGAGGGGATCCCTGGTCCCGTACCCACCAGGAGAGGAAGAGACTCCTTCTGCACCCACTGGAAGAAGGGATGGGAAGAAGACAATATAAAAACACACTCAGAAACAGAAAAGTCAATATGACACATCCAGAGTCTAGAGACTACAACAGCACATCCCAATGCAGATGAAGCAGAAGAGAATGGCCTTAAAAACAACTTCATGGAAATGATAGAGGCCCTCAAAGAGAATATGAGAAAATCCCTTAAAGAAATAGAATAAAAACAAACCAAAAAATGCAATAAATGGAGGAAAAGACAAAGCAAAAATTGCAAGAAACAATTCAAACAGTGCAAGGGTTGAAAGCTAAAATAGAGACAATAAAAAAAACACAGTCTGAGGGAATGCTAGAAATAGAGAAGCTGGGCAAACAGTCAAGTACTACAGATACAAGCATAACCAGCAGAATAAAAGAGATGGAAGATAGAATCTCAGGCATTGAAGATATACTGGGAGAATTAGATTCATCGACCAAAGAAAATCTTAAGTCCAACAAATCCCTAATACAAAATATCCAGGAAATATGGGACACCATGAAAGGACCAAACCTAAGAATAACAGGTATAGGAGAAGATGAAGAAAACCACCCCAAAGGCTCATAGTCAACAAAATCATAGAAGAAAACTTTCCCAACCTAAAGAAAGACATGCCAATGAAGGTACAAGAAGCTTACAAAACACAAAATAGAATGGACCACAAAAATGTTCCCTCATCACATAATAATCAAGATGCCAAATGTACAGAATAAAGAAAGGATATTAAGAGATTAAGAGCAGCTAAGGAAAAAGGTCAAGTAACATATAAAGGCAAAACTATCAGAATTACACCTGACTTCTCCATGGAAACTCTGAAAGAAAGAAGGTCCTGCATAGATAATCTACCAACATTAAGAGACCATGGATGCCAGCCCAGACTACTATATCCAGCAAAGCTTTCGATCACTATAGATGGAGAAAACAAGATATTTCATGAAAAAACAGATTTAAACAATACGTATCCACTAATCCAGCCCTACAGAAAGTTCAGGAAGGAAAATTCTAACCCAAGGAAGTTAACGATTAACTAGAAAAACATAGGCAATAGATAATCCCAATTTACCAACAGCCAAAAGAAAAAAGGGGTGAAAATTCACACACAGTTCCACCACCACCACCAATTCCAAAACAAACAAGAATGAGCAATCAATGGTCATTAATATCCCTCAAAATTAATGGTCTTAACTCGCCCGTAAAAAGACACAGGCTAACACAATGGATTTGAAGACAAAATCCATCCTGCTGCTGCATACAAGAAACACACCTCAGCTTCAAAGACAGATATTATCTCAAAGTTATGGGTTGGGAAAAGATTTTCCAATTAAATGAACCCAAGAAACAAGCAGGGGTAGCAATTCTAATATCTAACAAATTAGACTTTCAGCTAAAATCAATCAAAAGAAGACTGGTGGCTGAGAGGCCAGCATGGGACTGATCCAGACCCCCTAGAGTGTCATTGAGGAGGCCTCGGCAATTTATGGGGCCTTGTGTAGTAGATCAATATTTATGCCTGGCATACAAATGCACTCTGGGAGCCCATCCCACATCCAGGGATGCTCTCTCAGCCTGGACACGTGAGGGGAGGGCCTAGGTCCGGCCCTGAATGAAATGAAAGACTCTGGAGATCCCCCATGGAGGGCCTCACCGTCCCTGGGGTGTGGAGTGGGGACTGGGTGGAAGGTTGAGGGGGTTGATAGCACGCAGGCAAGGAGGGGAGGTAGAGGAAGATCGGATTGACATGTGAAGCAAGCTTGTTTCTAATTTAAATTTTTAAAAAATCACTCATAAAACCTGTCGACTACAACTATTCTATGACCTTCTTTAGAGGAACAGATATAATTGAATAACTATATGTTAAATGAGGGTGTCCAGATTGACTTACAAAATATGGCCTGAGTAATTCATCATTAGTTATCTCACATAGGAGAGTCTGAGAATTCAGCAACTGTGTGGTTCATCAGCCTGGATGTCTTAGCAATCCAAGTCTAATGTTGAGGGACCTGAGGATTCCCGGAGCACTTTAAGTCTCAGGCTTGAGGCTGAAGGAGCTGGTTCTCCTATCACTAGAGGAGTCAGTTGCAACAATGACATGGCAGATGAAACAGCCAGCGAGAGTAAAAGCAACTGAGCAAAACAAGATTAAATTAGCTGGTAAAAGCTGTCATTGCTTTTGAATATTAATTTTACATTTGTATATATCTTAAAATCCTTTACTTATAAGCATTTCTTTACCTTCAAAATAACATTAACTTCTGTATTTTTATCATGATCATAATCTGCTAATTCATAAAATGTATGTATTTGTTTATCCTCAATAATAATGTAACATCTTTCGAAAAAATGTGAGTATTGTGTGTACTAAGGATTTTTAAAACAACTTATACATAACCAAATTTTTATTCAAGCTATGCTTGCTTGTATCTATCAAAAGAAATTAGAAGGTAATGCTTTCTCTTATAATTTACAATAATAATTTAAAATACTTGCAAGTATGTGGTTATTATATTCCAGATATCCATCTTTATGTCAATACTCTTATCTTCTTTTTATGTCCACAAATAAATATATTCATTATATTAAAATTGACATTTCCACTTTGACAAATCAAGTAAATTTCAATGAACTACTTCATTATTTTAAAGTAAATTATAGAAGTGATACAATTAATATTATCTGGTCTATTATAGTAAATTAAGACTGCAACAAATACTTACGTTTTAAAAAATAGAAATATTTATGTTAAGGTTAAACATAATTTGTGGTTAAGATATTGAAAAAACAGTTTAAATGTGACCAGTATAAATGAATTATAGTAAAAATGATAGTGTTGGAGGCAAAATCGGTTTAAAAGTAAATCTACATCTATTTCTGCCACCAGCAGAAAATATTATTTTATTGAAACAATTACCACCATACAGTAGTACTTAATTTTAAACTCTTTTCATTTTAATTAAATTTGTCTCTTATCTTTAATTGTTACTCTATATCGTTACAGTCTATAAAAGGAAGACAAAGTGTCTTATTTACTAGATTACTTTCCTCGTTTAATGACGTACAGTTCATGCAATGATTATAGTTATTTTTGAGACTTTAAAGCCTGGCAGGAACATTTGAGACAGTTATTTTCTGTAAATAATGAACACACAGATGTACTATGTTTAGTTCCATACAATGAGGACTGGGTGCTGCTACTGACATCAACAATGCTACATATTTTCTTTGCAATGTGTTCCAAATTCTATTATTACTATGGTTGCTTTACCCATAAAAGGTAAAGCAAATTTGATTAGAGAATTAAATAAAAATACTAAAAAAGCACTGATATATAGACATAATAATACTCTTCTTAGTATTTGCTGCTTATATATGTTAAAAAAAGTTAGTGTTATTCATAATTTAAACCATAAGGTTATGTATTGAGACTTCTGATAACTGTCAACATGAGTGGAAGCTTTGCATTTTATGTAGGAAAAATCTAAATTAGAAAGATTAGGGACTATTAGCCTGTGTAATATTTGTTCTGTATGTGTCATTTTATGATAACTCTTTTTCCTGTAACCTGGAAGATGGTTACTTGATACACAAGAACACCTACCAACCTATATGACTAATTCACTGAATTTTAATTATTATATATTTCCCGAGTTGTTTTATTAAATAAAATAAATGTGACTTGTTAAAAAATCTAAAAGCTCTAATCTCGAAGAAAGTCATTTCTTATATTGTGTATTTAATTTAGCTTTCTCTAGTAAAGGAGATATTTTTCTATGCTCTAAAGTGAGAAAGAATTTTTAAAAATATATCTTTTTCATAGCTTCAGGTAATGTATTTTTATCATATTCACTCTCCCCCCCCCATCCTCCCAGATCAACCCCTTCCCCATCCAATCAACTTTATGTCCTCTTTATTGTTTTTTTATTCCAAGTAGAATTTGTGCTAGCTGTATATCATTGTGTGTGTGATCTCCACTGGAGTGGATTGAGCTACCCGGGCCCACACTCTAAGAGACAATAGACCCCTCCCAGCAGCTATCGGGTGCCAATAGCTCCTCCACTAGGGGTTGGATCTCATGTCTGCCTACTTCCTCCATGCTGGGATTCTGCCTGGCTTGAGCTTGCACAGGTCTTGCATGTGGTGTCTAACCATGGTGCGTTCATATGGGCATCTGCCCTGGTGTGTCTGGAAAATGCTGTCACTGCCCATGTTCTCTGAGTTCAGATTCTCCTGCTCACAGGCTAAACATGTGTAAATTGACTCAAACTGGTATGTGATGTGCACACACAGGATGCAGGCACACAGCCATATTACACCTGTTAACTGGGGAGTCACTGATGTCAGAGAGAAAGGGGCAAAGACCCCCCCTACACCCCTACTACCCCATAATACCTGCACGGTAGTGATGCCCGGTTCCCGCCCTGCCAGGATCCTGCCATCCTGTAACTGGGCAATTTTCGGTTCCTCCACCTTCACAAACTCGGTCACAAGGTTGGTGATGTCAAACTGCCAGTCAGGGCCCAGCATGTAGGTCAGCTGACCCAGGTCAGGTGACTCGGTTACAAACTGGGTGAGGACTCGCACCAGGGCATGCTGGTACTGCAGGGTGCACCCTCGTCCTTTCTTCTCCTCGTCTTCCTCATCATCGCTCTCCCGGGTGGGCCTGGAGCACAAAGAAAGCAGAACAAATTAAGCCTCCTTCTTAGCGGGAAACCTTGCCTGCCCTTGACTCTGCCTGACTGTTGGAGGAAATGCAGCAGTTTTCTCCTCATCCATTGATTTATTCCCTCATCCATTCGCTCGTCCAATGAATGAATAAATTCATCCATTCATCCATGTTTCTCTCGCTCTTCCTCTTCCCCTCCTTCCATTTTCCCCTGCCCCTAATTGTCAACAGCTCACCCAGAGAAATCTGTCTCTTCAATTCTAGAACCTTCCCTTTGAGACGAACTTGCCCTGTGACCTCCCAGGGGGAGGACTTTGCTGACTGTGTCAGGAGGAGCAGAGCCGAAACCAGGACAAGTCCTGCAAGCAGAGTTAGACAGAGCACAGCCTGTTCTCCCAGAATGACAGCTGACGTCCCTGTGCACTGAGTCAGACTACCATGAACTCTGCCCCCTGTGATGGACAGACAGACAGACATCATGGTGGCCACACATACTTCACTCAGTCAACCTTCCCAGAACCTTGAGACTGAGGTTTAATTCTTGTCTTAATCTTACTGATAAGGAAACCAAGATGGGGAGAGAGGAGGCTCCTTAATCAAGGCCATGAAACTGGTCATCTGCAGAGGCAAAGTTAAGGTCAAGCTACCTGTCCCAATGCCTGTCCTTTCCTTTTCTAGGTTCAGTCCATCCTTCCTCACAGAGGCTGTGGGCAAACCAACCTCCCCAGCGCTCACCCAGTGACCCAACTTCCTTTGATTTCTGAAACAATTTGCTGTCCCCTTAAGGACTGAGAACAACAATAGGAATGTATATAAGACCTCTCCCGCACAGCCTTGGAGTAATTCTGGGTCCTCAAAGAGGCAGCAGCGGGTTATCTTTACTGATAAGAAAGACAGCTTTGGGAGGACAAAAGGATATAGCGTGAAAAAACAGAGTGGTATTCTTGCTAGGATTGCATGTGAAGTGTCCCACATAGGCTTGTGTGTCTGAATACCTGGTCCTCAGCAGGCTTGGGAGGTTGTGGAGCCCCAGGACCTAGCTGGAGGAAGTGGGATTCTAGCACATCCTTGCTGTCAGTCCCCGCTGCTTCCTGATGTCCCTAGCTGTGAACAAGCAGCCTTCCGCTCCGGTCATGCCTTCCCCACCACGAACGAACACAACCTTCCTCACCCAGGTTGCTTTCATCACGTAGTTGGTCATGGCGACAAGAAAAGTAACTAAAAAGTGGTAAAAACCTGCTGTCTTTTCATTTTCAGTCCTTCAGCAGACATCACAGAGACAGTATCTGCTTGGTGCATGAGTGCCATGGATAATTTCCAGACACGTGCCGATCTCCCTTAGTGAAGAAACACACACAGACCCCCCCATGCAACATTGGCAGCATTCAATAACATAGCCACGCTTTCTTTGTATTGCCCATTAGAGTAGATGTATTTTATAATAAAGGACAGTGTTCAGTAATTTGTGCTTGTGATGTGAATTTCCCCTTAACTAAATAGACAGAATTGAAAGGATACCTTAAGCACGCCAGATAGTCACACTATGATTCGGTTTGTGTCGATCATCAGTGTGACTCTCTGTCGTGTTTAAGATCTCCCGCTCGTCCTTAAATCTCAGAATTGTCACCATGATATGCTGCCGTGCAGATTCCTTAAGTTTTGTCCCATTGCCAGTTTCCTCGGATGCTTGCTTCTGTATTCCGGTGTATTTTGCCAGATTCAGTCAAGTTTTCATCTACACTCTTAGCCCCCCATTCGTTGTCCTCTCCCTAGATTCTAGCTCCAGGCATTTTAGACATTTTGTCACTGTCCCACTGGCCTTGTGTTCTGCCCAGCTGATTTTTGGTTTTACTTAGACTGAGTTTTATCTTCCCTCCTTGAGTTGATTGGTCTTTTTCTGCCATCCTTCCTGAGCCACTGAGCCTATCCACTGCTACTTCTTGATGAAATCGTTTACATTCGCATTGTTACCCAGACTACTTAGGATTCTGTAGCAAATACCACCCCCAAGATAACAAGGGATTTCAATACTACAACCCACATGTTTTGTGTATCATGATTTTTAAAAACGCTGATGCTGCTGGGAATCCACTTCAGTTAAATCTGTTCTGGTTTGGCACACCAGCTCTGGTTTCAGTGGTGTTTTGGGGTTTAGAGGCCATCAATGGCATTCTGGTCTTAGTGGTGTTCCTGATATCCTGACTCCCTGCTGATTTTTCTCAAGGGGTAATGTGCCCCCTTGTTGGGGAAGTCCTGTTATTTGCCTGTGCATTTGTCAATAAAGTACTGTCTGGCCAATAGAAAACCTAGATAGGAGGGACTAGGAGTCGAGGAGGATTCTGGGAAGGGGAAACACAAGAGAGTCAACATGTGACGCCATGGGGGTAGGACGCCGGGAACTATTCTCCGGTAAGAAACATACTTAGATTAACAATTATGGGGTAATTACTTAAGGCAGAGCTAGCCAGTAAGAGACAAACAAGGCCAACAGCTTCATAATTAATATAGCCTCCTGTGTGTTTATTTGGGATTGAAGCAGCTCTGGAACCAGGCTGGCGGGAAGGCTCCTCTTAAGGAAAGCTTCAATTAACAAAATGGTGATCAGGAGTGGGATCATGAATTTCCACGCAAAATAACAAAAGCTTTAAAGCAATTTTAGAAACAGAAGAACGGAGAGAAGCACAGATTTTGGTAGCAGCATTTTCTCAGGTGTGCTCTGTTTTGCTAGCCACAAGCCGAGATTCATGCAGCTCGCTTACTGGAGTCTTCCTGACTCAGCATAAAAAGAAAAAGAAAAAGAAAAAAAAAGCCAACAAGGTTGTTTTAAGAGACTCTGCTAACGATTGAAAGGTGTGTATGTACAGCTGGAAGTGGCAGCTTTTGCTGGATGTCAGCATGGACTGAGGCGGTAAGCTGAAATCACGCTTACGCCCACCATCCTGAAACGGCAGTTTAAAACAGCCGCGGTTTTACAGTAAGACACGTGGCCAGAAAAACGTAAAGCTTTACAGTAAAGTCAGACTTGGATGAACAAAACCTCTAAAGGTTTACAGTGTGTTTAAAAATATACGTGAGATTGAGAGAGAAAATGAAACGGCAAAGTGGTAAATAAATACAAAAGCCGGCGTTGTGGTGGCGCACACCGGTAGGATTTACTCCAGAGGCAGAGGCAGGCGGATTTCCAAAGAGAAACCCTGTCTCAGAGAAAAATAAATAAAAGTAAAAGAAATAGAATAATAATAATAAATAAATAAGCCACGTAAAGATGGAAAATACACAGAGAGTCTGGATACTGTACGCTATTATGTTTTTCAGTTTTTTGCTTGCTCAGGAAGGAACTGATACTAAAGTACACTTGCTTATAAATGCTGCTAAATTAATACAACTTATATCTTTTGAAAATACCTTGACTTCAAAATTTAAGCATAAGGATATGTTACTCGGAAAAGGAGTTTTTATTTATGTTTCTACAGAAAATGAAAAGCTGAAGATTTCTTCCAGGCTTCTGTGGTTTCATGAACCAAGACCCCCGGAAGCAGTGGACCAGGTGTTCCAACAATTGAGACAGCTAAAATGATGCAGCTTTACAGACCACAAAAATAAGGACTTATACAGGTTTCTGAGTTTTGTCATGATCCCCATGGTATGAACAGCGCCCCCTTCCAGCAGGAAGCAGTTTGGAATGAGCGACGTCCCAATTCCCATCTTGGTTATAAATCTTTGTTTTCATTTAAATGGGATTGTTTATAATTGATTAATGATCACAGCCAATCTTCTTTTAATGGTAAAAAGGGGAATTATGGTATGGGTATTGCTTTTCATTTATTGATACAAATTCAAGGTCAATTTTGTGATGTTTATATTTCTCCTCTTGATTAAGCATTGTGCTTATACTGATCTTCTAAAATGTAATGCATAATTGAATACAGACTATAGATAGTTACTTATAATAGAATTTATAGTTAGGTAAGTTAGGTTTTCTAGATATACAGAAATATATTTGAGACAGATAGACAGTCTTCAAACCTCTCAAAGACCTTCAGAACATGGCATTTAAAATGGTCTAGGGTTTTTTTTGACAATGAGAAATGTCTGCTCCTGGCAGCACCAATTATGTCTGAGAGGAAGATGGGCATTGAAGAAACTTGTTATGGAGTTTGCTTTCAACATGGCAAGATTAGCCATTTGGGCAAGAAACTGCTCTTGCCTAGACTGTTTGACTGCTGTTGTATAATCTGGACATACAGGACCCACAGGAAAGTGACTACTAAACTCAGTCTTACAGGGTTCCTGCTTGATGAAGAGTCTACGAGACTTTCTGCAGGACAAAGAAAAATGACTGACAGACTGCCAACGCAGATGGACAGTTTGAAATTTCCTGCTTTGCTGAGAAGTGTTCCAGACACATTGTGGCCTATGGGCTGAAGATGGATGCCCCAACGTTACAGAGGAACTTCGGGTGACTGTCCAGGCAGTAAGATGTCTCTGTCAATCCTAGTGTTTATATATTATCCTTCTGTGGTCTTTGATGGAGTTGAAGACAGATAGTTATAATTATAGTTTTCTTTAGTTATGATAAAAGATAAGCTACATATAGGACTTTGGACTCACAAGGATGGGATGGATGATATTTTCTTTAAATCTTGCTAAAATATTGTAACTATGTTCTTACTTGATAACTGTTCTGTCATATACAATTTGACTATGTTAAAATTAAGACCTTTCTTTTGTTTAAACAGAAAAGAGGAGATGTTGGGGAAGTCCTGTTATTTGCCTGTGCATTTGTCAATAAAGTACTGTCTGGTCAATAGAAAACCTAGATAGGAGGGACTAGGAGTCGAGGAGGATTCTGGGAAGGGGAAACACAAGAGAGTCAACATGTGACGCCATGGGGGTAGGACGCCGGGAACTATTCTCCGGTAAGAAACATACTTAGATTAACAATTATGGGGTAATTACTTAAGGCAGAGCTAGCTAGTAAGAGACAAACAAGGCCAACAGCTTCATAATTAATATAGCCTCCTGTGTGTTTATTTGGGACTCATGGGGATCTAGAACCAGGCTGGCGCGGCAGAGCCCAGGTGACTGGCGGGGGATAAACCAAAGCGGCTAGCAAAAGAAAAAGCTTCTCTTAACACCCCCTTGTTCAAGTGAACAGGCAGAAGGCATCAGTCATGCAGGGGGCATCACTTCACTATGCTGACCCTTCATGTTGCAGAGGAGGAGCTTGGCACCTAGTCCTGGGCCTTTGTGGTACTCTCCGCCAATGTTTCAAAGCATGTCTGAGATTCCCCATCCCTCATCCTCTGGAAAAGTTGATTGTTTCGACGCCATTGGGTACTCGTTCCCTTTGGTTTAACAGCCGCTGCCTCTGTTTACCTCACCTCTCAAATTTAACTGTAAAAAGCAAGAAGAATCTGAGGCATGCACTCAACACTTTGCTTGGAAATCTCAGCTTCACGGCCAGCTTTGCTTGCCTTCCACGCAACTTCAGGGCATAGCACACTGGCATTCTGTAGCAGCCAAATGAGGATCCATGTTCCTCATGCCCTCTGAATGCTCACCAGGGTGTTTCCAAGTTCGCTCTTGCTCGGGATGATTTCTATTTCCAACCAGGTGTTGGGAGCTTTCCCACCATGCTTCACTCAGCCAAGCTCATTGTCAACACCTTCACCACCCATGAGTCTACAAAGAGTCTGCCAAAGGCCATTATGTTCCCCCAGAGCCTTGCACCTTCTGCCCACCGCCAGCTTCCAAAGACTCCCTCCCTAAGGTGTTACCGCTGCACTCCAAAAGTGGGTAACAATATCTGGATCACTTCCTTCCTTTGTGGTGTAACAAAATGTCCACAAACCTCGCAGTTTAATAACACTCATCTGCTTGCTTGCAGTTCTGTGAGGCACAGTCCAACCAGGCTCAAATGGCTCCAGAGTTCTGCATAGAGGCTGTAAGGCTGAAATCACGACGGCAGCCAGGCTCTCACCTGAAGCTGCTGGGGTAGCGTTCGCATCTAGACAGTCAGGTTGGTTGAGGTATTGTAGTGATCAGTTTCTACAGTTAGCCTTGGGGGTCCCATGGCCTGTGTCCATCATGAAGGGGTCCTGGATCCTAACGCCCCCATCCACTTTCCATGGTGCAGGATTCAATCCATCTTCAAAGCCAGCATCCCTCTGTCAAGTGGTCCTCGGCCCCAGACCTCTCCAAGACCCTTCTACCACCAGCTGGAAGGGACACTCTGGCCCTCCTGGATCATCTCCACATCCTAAGACAGATTTGGTGTAATTGCATCTGTGAAGTCTCCTTGGCGTGGCACCAAATTAATGCTCAACTGGACTTTTAGTTTGATTTCTACTGTTGCAGATAAAATACCCCCCGAGGGAAAGCCACTTAGGGAAGAAAGGGTTGTTTTTGTCTCACAATTCCAGAGGGATATAGTCCATCATGGGGAGGAAGGCATGGCAACAAGGGCTAAAAGGGGAAATGGCTGATCAGACTGTACACATACTCAGGAAGCAGAGTAGAGCAAGAACAGGAAGTGGGGTGCACTCTCAAAGCCCCCCCACCAGGGATATACATCCTCCAGAAAGACTCCACCCCCTAAACTTCCCATAAACTTCCCAAACAGCACCACCTGCTGGGGACCGAGTGTTCAAACACATGAGCCTGTGGAGGACAGTCTCATTCATGGGGGGGCGGGGCATTCCCATTCAAACCGCTAGACCTGAATGAGCAGCAGATGGGGGCCCTGGAGAGGAGTCTGACCTTAGGGCCTCCCCCTGCGGCACACATCATTTCTCTGGACTCCAGACTTCTAGCATGGCTGTTCCCAACCTACAGTTGAGGGAACTGCAGAATATGTAGGTGAAGTCGCCAGGTCACATGGCAGTGCATGGGAGAAACCAAGCTTAAAACTTAGGCAGTCTCGTTTCCAACCCTGCGGCCTTCACCGCGTAACACCTCACTCCATGAGTGATGAGCGACTGTGAGGAAAGAGAGAGTGGGCGGCATGAACAGTTGCACGACAGACAGTGGGAAGTAGTTATGTCTTGGGTGCCAGGCTCGGTGTAGGGCCTTCTTAGATTCCCACATTGCCTTCCTGCATCCCAGAAACCGCTCTGTGAGGCTAACCAGTATCACCACTCGGGTTGCTGCTACTGTCTTTGACTCAGCGTCCTCACGTCCAGCTGCTGGTAATTATCCAGTTCGAGATCCGCAGGAGCCCGGAGTCCAGAGCACTGCTGGGAGCCAAAGCCGGTCCCATGATAACACACCTCCCACAGACCCCCTGAGCCGCTGCAGCGGCCTCCAACCCACAGCCGGGTCTCCCGCTCCTCACCTCCTGTTGGAAGCCACCGGGACCCTCCAGCCCTTGATCTGGCTCAGCTCGGTGTCTGAGATCTCCATCTGCAGCGGCAGGCGGGGCACCCAGACGGTGACCTCCACCTGAGAGGTGAAATGCTGGTGGGTGAAGTTCACGATCGTGCCCACTTTGCTCTTCATCTCCTTCCCGTTCACAAAGATGGAATCACAGGCGCTCGAGACCTTGGTGGGGGGAGAACGGGGAAACACGGAGGAGACGCGTCAGCGAGAGACCAGCAGAGGTCCGTGGACCTCGACTCGACAGCTCTGATGTTCTGAGGCACCCGGAGAGCAGGACGGGTACAGGGAGTAATTTGTAGGCACTGATTAGCGACAAATACCTGATGGACAGACTCCAAGAAAGCCGTTTTGTGTTACAAAATACTGACAAGTTAAGCCGTAAACATAATTTATGAGAGTTGTGTAACCTCAGCTGCCTTTTGGGAGTGTGCTGTTTTCTTTATCTTACCTTTTCTTATGCGCTCAAACCACCACTAATCAAGCCCCAGGTGTATCTTATTCCACTCCTGTACCACATTTGAAGACGCATAAAAGGTTTTAATGTTACTAAGAAAATGCTTTGTTCCGGCCATAAAATGGAGCATATGAAAAAAAAACAAAAAAAACAAGAGGAGTCTGCACTAGATTAAAATCCTGGCTAAGCGTTAATGGAATGTGCTTGAAATATGGATGGAATTAATCCTGCAGCCACTAAACTACAATTCAAAACACTGGAGAGGAAGTGGCATTTCACAGTAGTCTCTTTCCTGGCACTTGGGGGTGCTCTAGCTCCCCCTCTCCTGTGGGGTCTTGCCAGATATGTCAGCTCCCTGCTTTGTCTCCCATCTCCTGGGCTAGCAAAAAAGATGCTGCAGACTTGTTCTCCATCAGGAAGTTCAAGGGAGGGACTGAGCAGTGAAGACTGCAGAGCATTGGGAATCACAGACTATGCGGGACCTGTGATTTCATTTAGAGACAAGAAGACTAAGGTTTCAATGTCAGTCCATTCCTCAGGTACCATTCGCCTTGTGTTTTGTGACAGGGTGTCTCCTTGCACTATAGAGCTCGCTGATTTGGCAAGGCTGTCCAGCCTCTGAGTCCTTGGCATCTTCCTGCCTCCCCAGAGTTTGGATCACAAGCATACACCACCACACCTGACTTTTCTGCATGGATGCTGAGGACAGAACTCAGGTCCTTGCGCTTATGGGCTAAGCACTTCACCAACTCAACCATCTCCCTGGCCCCTATTTGCAAATTATTACTCTGTTGAAGGAATGATATCTAGAATAAACAAGAACTTTAAATCTCAACTATAATGAAATGCCCCCCAAACATCCCCCTATCAGCTTAGGACAGATTTGCTGTTCAGAGTAGCAGGTCCTGAAGAGAAAGAGACCTTAGATGACTAAGATCTGAACAAGCAGTAAAGGGGCTTCAGACCAGGCTTCGGTAACTCAGGGATGGGGATGATGGGAGATTAGAGAGTGTGTGGCAGAGCAAATCTGAATATGAACACTAAACCCCACTCTTATGCAGAACAGCTAAAGTACTATAGTTCAAATAACATACTGTATGTTTTATGAGTATCCAAAAGAGGGGAACTTGCAGGTTCCAACCACAGGGCGATGCTAATAAGATACAAATGGAGTTATCAGATTTGTATTGGGGTGACACACACACACACACACACACACAAACCATTATGTGTGAATTAACCTTCAAATGTTTAAGGAGGTGAAAATGCCGAAGCTCTTGTTTGACTATTACACACTGCATACAAGTGTGAAATTATACACTTACCCACACATATATACAACTAAAAGAACAATATTCTTAAAAGACAGCAATGAAATGGTAGCTGACATTATAATCCCAGCAAGGGGTTAAAACGGACATTTCTCTTAACTTCTCAGCTTTAGAAGAAAAGAATACTCTTTTTCAACCTTTTCTTTGCTTTTTTAAAAGGAAGAAAAACAACAATGAGCCAAAAAAATCCAGCTGTCTTTCAGGGCATGTTGCAGGGACTTAAGCACGTGTTGTTGAGCCCAGAATCAAGAAGGGAACAATTGGAACGAGGCTTCCAATTAGGGCAGGACATGGGACAGAGGACAGAGCTCTTATATTCCATAGTACCCGTGGTGCAGCATCTGACTTCCACCCATTGGATTCTCAGCAGGGATGGAAGCTGTCACAAAAGCCCTCCCCTTCTGCATGGGCACTGAGCTGGGGGAAGCTGAGTTTCACAGGGTCATGCCACCCCCTCTGCTCACTCTACCCCAGAGAACACGGCATCCTACCTGAAGTCAAGTCAAAGCAGACACCAGAGACTTTAATTGTCACCTTCTTCCTGCCTCGAACACTGGTCACCATCTCCAGGACTTTCCCAATTACCCCCCCTTCCTAGAATCCAGACCTCAACTCTCCTGTGTTTGTAAGTAATCCCTGACCCTTCCTTGTCAGCTGGTACAAACTCACATGAAATCCCACCTCAAATCACTCTGATTGCATCCAACCACCAGGGACACATTGGCTCTGGGAACTTCTGTCTTAAAAACATAAAACACGTGGCTGAGGACAAAGACCCAAGATCAATTCCCAGAACTTACAGTTTACAACATGAAAAACAAGATAGACTAGAGAGATGGCTCCATCGTTAAGAGCTCTGGCTGATCTTTCAGAAGACCCAGGTTAAGCCGGGCAATGGTGGCGCACGCCTTTAATCCCAGCACTCGGGAGGCAGAGGCAGACAGATCTCTGTGAGTTCGAGGCTGGGCTGGACCGGTAGCCTACAAAACAATACAGAGAAGCCCTGTCTGGTAAAACCAAAAATAAAAAAATAAAAAATAAAAATAAACAAAAATTCATTCCGTATATTGTGCATGGAAAAGACACAGGGCTTGAGGCATGGGAACTCAAAGCTGATGAACACATATGACCCTGGAGTTCCAGGACTCAGCATCACCCTTTGACTCAGAACTGAGATTACAACATGGAATAAGTACCTATTAGGTAGAGAAGAGAAGACGATGTAAAATCTAAATTCCCACTTACATTATTCATCTATCTAATGAAATTATTATGCATATGGGTGTTTTGCCTGCATATATGGGGGTGCATCACGTGGGTGCAGTGCCTGAAGAGGCCAGAAGAGGGCATCAGATCCCCTAGAACTGGAGTCCCAGATGGTTGTGACCTGCCATGTAAGAGCTGGAAACTGAACTCAGGTCCTCTGCAAGAGCAGCAAGTGCTTTTAACTGTCAGTCGACTCTCCAGACCCCATCATTTAACTAAATGGCACCTTCAGGACTCTCTGAGCCCCAAGAGAGGCTTCAAGAATCAAGTGTTATCCATTCTCATATAAGAAGAGCAGAGGCCAGGAGCATGAAGATTGGAAAAAGACTGACCCAATGTCACGTTCATCTTCCAGTGTGTGTAAAACAGCTTGTAAAATGTCATCTAAGGAACGCTGCCTTTAGAGGTTAATATTTTTACTGCCAAGTTGCTACACTTCTGCAACTCCATTATCTTGGGATAAAAGACACAAAAGGGAGCCTTGAGACATGGGGATGGCTCCTCGGGGAATCTTGAGAGTCACTCATTTCATTCTCCATTCATGACAGCAGGAAGGATGTAGGCTGAACCTACCACCTTGCGCCTAGCCTGCTATTAGTCCACCAGGCTGTGAACAGGGAAGGGGCCATAGGTGGTCTGCTGTGACCTTTTCCAACCCAAAGACTGTGCCTACACTACAGAATTAGAGCAATCACTGCTTACAAATAAATATTCACAGAGAAATTCAGAGATTCCAGATTTAAACAGGCAGAGGATCAGTTGTCATAGAAACCAAACACTTTGCTGTAGATCTTGCTGTGCTTTGCAAAATCCACTAAGATACAGCAGGGATGCAGATGGTGCTTATTTATTTATTTTTAATTTTCAAGTTACTCTTGGTGTGTGCTCGCACACATGCACACATGCATATGGAAAGCAAAGGACAACCTGAGATGGCCTGCTCTCTCCGTCCACCATGTGGGTCCTGGGGGTCAAACTCGGGCTGTTAGGCTTGGGGGCAGGTGCCTTCACTACTGTAGACTAGTTTTTACTTTCTGGAATATACAGACGGAGTCAGGATAAACGCTCTTGTCCCTGCTTTCTCCTATCACTATTTCAAGTTCAGTACTTCTTTCTGTCTGGCTGTATGGCAGTGGCCCCAAGCTTCCTTTCAGCTCCTTCTAGCCAGAGCCATAGAGGAGGAGGCTCAATGGCAGTTAATCCCTTCTTCCATGCATCACTACATCCGTATGAGTTCCCAGGGCAAAGTCCATCGAGGCAGAACAGTAACCAGGGCCCTCACTCCCCACCCCCAAGCCAGTCTAGCATTTGCTTCCCCCCAAGAATGATCTTGAAGACTCTGTTCTAAGCAGCCCAGCCAACACAGCGAGTTCCAGGCCAGCAAGTGCTGCATTATAAAACCTTGTGTCAAAAACAAAAATCGCCCTGAGTTTATAGCTATAACTGCAGGAAGATTATTTATCCTCAACCTTTATTCCTCCACATCAGACCAGGACTCAGTGTATAATGTATCACTTCAGCTCTCTTTCAAGAAGGCCTCTCGTCCAGGGAGGGGCTGTTGTGAGCAGATCAGTACCACAGTGTGAGGGCCAGCAACCTAGGTCTTATCTGTTCTTCCTCTCACCATGCTGAACTCCTGCCCTCTGAGCCTCAGGGGTTAGGACCCTTCAAGGATGACCCTGAGGGGCTTAGGTTCTCCAGCCCTGTCTTAAATTCACACAGTGTCTCAGAAACCAAGTGAGGAATCCCAGTGTGTTCTGCCACCAGATAACCTTTCTCTGCCTTAGGCATCTCGTCTGTAAAATAAGAATAAAAAGTCCTTTTGTTGAACAAACATTTAACGTTGCCGAGGCCTGGGAGCTATCCTAGGTGCCGAACATGGAGCAAGGCCCCACACACAGTCCCCACCCTCATGGGATTTGAAAGCTGGCCTGGGAGAGATACTTAATTAAAAGGATCACATAGTCATAACAAACAACTTGGTCGTGGGAAAGGCTTGAAAGGAAAAAAAATCAAACAAGGAAAAGGACAGAAAATGAAGACAGAGGTGCGGTTAGAGTGGAAATCATGCAAGCTGAAAAACTAGCAGGGTGACAAGAGTTCACTTCTAA